AGAGCAGAGGGGAAAGGGCAGGAACCTCTGAGGCAGACTTCCCCTCACCTGTTCTCACCCCTCCCTACAACACACTGTGACTGAACAGTAAACACTGCTACTTGGCTCAAGGCAGAGAACAAAGTGCAGCCTTATCCCCTACATAAGGGACCAGGCCCCAGTCTGTCCCTACAGTGTCTGTCCTGATCCCAGTAGTCAGGAGCAGGTGTTCCCAAACAGACTGGGAAGCAGTGGGGCAGCCATGGCACTGTTGATTGGAGATGGCCTGTGGTCTGTGGTCATATTCACGGCCGTCTTCCTGCTTCTGGTGGACCTGATGTACCGACGAAAGTTCTGGACGGCCCGCTACCCTCCAGGCCCTATGCCGCTACCTGGGCTGGGTAACCTGCTGCAGGTGGACTTCGAGAACATGCCATACAGTTTGTACAAGGTGAGACAGAAGGTGGTGGAGGGGGTAGAGGTCATGATGCCCCTGAAGCCACAGGATTGACAGGAAGATGGTCTCCAAGAGGAGGAAGGCTGAGTAGTTTCCTTGTGGCATCTACTTCTGGGTCTGAGGACACTGTGGATTTTCTAAGAGCAGAGGTTCAGTATGGAGAGGCCATGGAGGCAGGCTGGGAGTCTGGTTGGACAGGACAGAAGTCAGGAAGGCTCCAGGTCCCTTGTGATCCCCTCACTGAATGAGGTCTCAGGGAAAGAGGGGAGGCTCACTCAGCTGTAGCCTCACTCAGGGAAGAAAAGCAGAGAGATGGCTGTGTCTGCTATAATCTCTGGCTGTTCTGTGAACTCAGGCCTTGTTGCCCATCTCAGGAACCTGATTTCTCTTGTATGGAGGGGTATGAAGGGGGAAAAGACTTTGTTCTGGCAGGGTCACACCTGAATGACCTTATCTACTATGAGAACTTTGCTGGATTTAGAAGAATGGATACCCCATTCACAAGGTGCCATGTCTCAGGCTAGAGATAGAGTCAGTGACAGAGCATTTGCCCAGCACAGGGCAGGACCAAGGTTCAAATAATGTGTACAATACAAATGTGCTCACCGTTGTGTGCTTGCATTGGTGACAGGCACAGCCATGCACACACACACACACATACAGAAAAACACAAACACACATAGAGACTTGAATTTTGATCTTATAGTCAGTTTGCTGGGCACCTCATTTCCCAAGTGCTCTGTCCCTCTCCTTCAGCTTCGACAACGCTATGGTGACGTGTTCAGCCTGCAGATGGCCTGGAAGCCCGTGGTTGTGATCAATGGACT